ACTCTCGTTAGTTGAAATAAGGTTGATTTTTTTATACCTCATAAATACCTCTTTTGTTACAAGTGTAAGAGAAACAACTTCGTATACCTTAAAAATCATCTTATCAGTCTGGATGATTTGAAGTGAATTTAAAACAACCTCAAAATAAGCTTAGGTATAAATAAAATGACTTCATATACCTCAATAAATACCTTTTTATCGTTAGTTGAAATAAGGTAAAAATTTTTATACCTCAAAAATACCTCTTTTGTTACAAGTGTAAGAAAATAAACCTGGTATACCTTAAAAATCTCCTTATCAGTCTGGTTGATTTGAAGTGAACTTTAAACAACCTCAAAACAAGCTGAAGTATATATAAATCAATCTCGTACACCTTAATTACAACCTTTACGAGATATAATTTTTATTGCTGTTTTCTCTGCAACCTTAAATATACCTCAAATATACCTCAAAACAACCTTAATACCTCAAAAATACTTCAAATCAGCCTTAAATACACCTTAAATTTTCATAAGGGACGACACTATTCGAGCTCTAATTGCAACAGCAGCTAAGGAGAAATTAAAATTATTTCAAATTAACGTAGAGACAGCTTTCCTTTATGGTGATTTGACTGAGGATATATACATGTATCAACCCGAAGGATATGATGACGGAAGCGGACGTATATGCAAGATGCTCCGACCTTTGCACGGTCTTAAACAAGCTGGTCGATGTTGGAATGCCAAGTTTACCGACGTGCTAAAGAAATATGGTATGACCCAAAGCAAATCTGACCACTGCCTCTTCACTCGTAAAGATTCGGGACACAAGATGCTGATGGCGATTTATGTCGATGATGGTATTGTCGCTGTACAAGACGAAGCATCATTCCTGACCTTTATGAAAGAACTCAAGCAACATTTCAGCCTTTGAGTGACAACGTTAAATTGTTTTCTTGGTCTACAAGTTGAACAGTTGAAGGACGGCTCAATCTTCTTGCACCAAGAAGCATTTACTAAAAAGATGCTAGAGCGTTATGGGGATGCTACCAAGACATCACGCATTCCGGTGAAGAAGGCAAATCTGAAGGTTGAATATGAACTTCCGAATGCTGATGGGATGATAAAGGTCAAGAAGGCAAATCCTCTTAGCAGTCACATTCCATATAGATCAGCAGTAGGTAGCTTGCTTTATTTAGCGATGGGAAACCGACCTGACATTGCTTATGCAGTAAGTTTAGTATCTCGTAAATTGGACAATCCCACAGAAACTGATTGGAAAATTGTGCAGACAACATTCAGCTACCTTCGTACTACCGTTGCACATGGCATTGTATATAGCAGTACAGATGATAGAAGCCTTATGTTGTTTAGTGATGCAGATAACAACAGTTGTGCGGAAACTCGGAGATCTCGCACAGGTGTGATATCTTTCTACGGTGGAGGTGCAATTACTTGAAGAAGTAAATTGCAGGAGGCTATATCTAATTCAACAACAGAAGCAGAGTTCATGGCAGCAGCGGATGCGACAAAAGATCTGATATGGTTAAAGCACCTGTTTGCCGAGATAGCCAACGACATCTCATTACCAATCCTCCAGATTGATAATCAAAGTACCATAAAATACATCAAGAATCCGATGTTTCAGGCTCGCACTAAGCACATCGATCAAAGATACAAGTTTGTCCAAGATGAGTTTTCGAAAGGACAGTTTGTATTAGGTTACGTCCGAAGTGATGAGCAGCGAGCAGACATTCTGACGAAGGCACTTCCAGCACCTCAGTTTCATGCTCAAAAGAGATTACTTGGTGTGAGAGCAGTTCTTAGAGTGACATTATTGACTATTGACTGTTTTCATGCTCGAAGGAGGCTGTTATAAATCGAGCATGCTATCAGCGAGCCTCACGCTATATTTGCTTATTATATACAAAAATCAGGGTAAATCATATTTTATTAGGGAGAAGGTGAGGTTTACATCTTGTTACGTTTTTGGCTGAACAACAACTAACTAGCGCGGGATAACAAATGGTTGAGTTGAGTTGTTGCAAGGCGCATTTACACTGAAGATAAAATACATGACAATTCTCTGGCGCTTAAATAACAGGTTAATTTTGAATTATTAAAATTTAAGAGTCAATAACGAATAATTAGAGATTTAATCTGATGACTGGTCTTTTTTCCCGAGTTGATCTCCTTAACTGCATTGGATTTCTCTGGGTTACAGGACTAGATACTGGAAGAGAGGAGGGTATGGTGGGTGTAGAGCTGGATACTGGACGAGAGGAGGGTATGGTGGATGTAGAGCTGAATACTGGAAGAGAAAAGTGTACTGTCCTGGGCCTAGAAAATTTTAAAGAAGGAGTTATTGATTTTCAACTTGACAAGCTCTTAATTGGTTAAAGTGAAGCTTGATCACATAACCGTCGTTTAATTCAATGAGATAGGGAAGTCGTCAAAGTTTTTCAACAACAGTTCCATACTTCCATTTAGCAGATGATGTATAGTTGCGAGACTGTACTCTTTCTCCTAACTTGAAATTTTTGTTAAATTCTGGCTGCAAGGCATTATTTTTTTGTCCTTTAGTTGGTTTGATTAAGTCGAATTCACATCGTAAGTTTCTACCAAATAACATTTCTGACGGAGTTTTTTCATTGTTAAGTGGTGTTATTCTGTATCGGAAAAGTAGTTTGCATAATTTACTATGGAGGGAACCTGGACGATACTTCATGCATTTTAATTTCGTTTTTAATATCTGAACATAGCGCTCTGCTTGGCCATTTGTAGCTGGATAGCTTGGAGCAATAAGACGCTGTTTAATACCATTTGACTTACAAAAATGTTGGAATTCTGCTGACTTAAAAATTACGGCATTATCAGAAACTAAAATTTCAGGCAATCCATGACGACTAAAAATTTCTTCTAAATAATACATTGTGTTTGATGATGTGGGAGATGTCTTCATAGCAAAAATTTCAGGCCATTTTGAAAGTGAATCCACAACAATTAAAAATTGATGCTCCATGAAGGGTCCGGCATAGTCGATGTGCACGCGTTGCCAATTTTTCTCCGGTGTTTCCCATATGTGAAGAGGTGCTTTCGCTGGATTTTTTCTTACATCACAGCACTCACGGTTTTCAATATCGATGTCAATGTTTTTCCAATAGCAGTAGTTTCGAGATAGAGCTTTCATTTTCACAATTCCTATGTGTGTAGAATGTAGTTGCTTGAGCATTTCAGGTTGAAGAGATTTGGGAATGATAACTCGATTTCCTCTGAGGGGGCGGAACCCTCTCATATTAAGTTGAAGGCAACTATGACAAAAATCAACTAAACATTTATTAACAACTGAAACATAACAAGCTAAAACAGAAATATAAAATTAAGTAAGACTGTGTGGGATAGAGACTGAGTAAAGTTCGAAGTTTCTTAAATACCGGGGAAGTTCCAAGGTTGCCGATCGTGTGTTTGTAATCCCGTTGATTCTTTTGGCGCCTACGCACCATGCCTGGCGCCACATCACTCCCCACCGGAGTTTCATAGTCGTCAGATTCTGAAACGAACTCTTCTACCATACCGAGTAACGTACTTCTTTGGGTCCAGTACCTTTTCTGCCAAAGGAGACTCGGTAGTTGTAGTTGAAGAAAGGTCAGACTGGCAAGGAGAATCATCGTGGAATAAAGTATGGGGCTCGTCCACTGGCAAATACGCTGGTTTCAACCTGTCAATAGAAATCCACTTTTTCTTCGTAGAGATCTGCAAAAGATATATTTTAGATTTTTTTCTTCTTAAGAACTGAATATGGACCATCATACGGAGGTTGTAATGGTCTCCGTACGGCGTCATGTCGCACGAACACATGCGTACAAGTCTGAAGATCTCTAGGTACATAAACGACTCGTTTGTCATGCCAAACAGAAGCTACAGGCTTGACCTCACTAAATGCTTTACGCAACTGAGAAATCAATTCAGACTGCGAGATGCCATTTCCCGAGTTAGTAAGGAACTCTCCGGGAACTCTCAATGTTTGCCCATAGACTAACTCAGCAGAAGAGAAGTTCTAATCCTTCCGAACAGCAGTCCTCAAACCCACGAGAACTAGTGGTAAATTATCAAGCCAAGAATCTGTAGTATAACACATAAGGGCTGCTTTTAATGTTCTATGAACACGTTCAATCATCCCATTGGCCTTAGGATTGTATGCAGTTGTACGAATAATTTCAACACCCAGAATTTGTGCTAATTTCTTGAAAGTGAAGGAATCCAGTTGTCTTCCCTGATCATTTGAAATTCTAACAGGAGCACCAAACCGTGAAACCCAATTAAAAATCACTGCTCGTGCTACTGTATTTGCCGTGATATCTTGCAGAGGTACCACCTCAACCCATCGTGTAAACCGATCAATTAAAGTTAAGCAGTACTTATATCCTCGACACACCGGTCAAGGGCCAATCAGGTCCAAATGCACGTGCTGGAACTTAGCATTAGGCACAGGAATTTTGCCCAATGGTGATATTACGTCGATGTATTTTAGCCTTTTGGCAACTTAAACAAGTGCGACACCACTGAACAATGTCTTTTCGAATTGAAGGCCAAACATATGTACTACATAACTTTAAAGTAGATCGGGCACTGATGTGTGCAAGATTATGTACAGAATCGAAAATCATTTTTCGAAATTTCATGGGTACATACAAACGAGCACTAGGTTGGGAGGCATCAAAATACAAATTTACATCAGAATTAGGCAAAAAAATTAATTTAAACTTAAGATTAGTAACATCTGATTTTTTTAAATATACCTGCAATTCCTCATCAGTCAACTGCTCAGCTGCAACTTGCACATAATCAATTTTATCAGGAAAAGCAATTTCTTCTACCCTTGACAAAGCGTCTGCCACTAAGTTTTCTGCGCCTGCTAAATATCGTAAGTCACAAGTGAACTGTGATATAAATTCTAATTGTCGTAAACGTCTAGAAGAGCACTTTTCAAAACTTTGGGAAAAGGCGTGTGTCAAAGGTTTGTGATCAGTTATAACATGAAATACCCTTCCTTCCAACACATAACGAAAATGAATTATTGACAAATAAATCGCCAAAAGTTCTTTGTCATAAACAGAATATTTAACTTGGGCATTATTTAACTTTTTGGAGAAAAAGGATAGAGGTATATAACCAGATCCAGTTTTTTCATGTAACTCGCCTGCTACTGCAATGTCACTAGCGTCCGCAAACAGCACTAATTGGCAATCAGGTGCCGGGTGAGATAGCTGAGTAATGTTTACTATACTTTCTTTGCATTTTTCGAAAGAATTTTCTAACTCTGCAGTCCAGTTAATAGTTTTACTATCGCCTTTTTTACTACCCCCAAGTAAAGCGTTTAACGGGGCATGCAATTCTGCCGCTTTGGGAATAAATCTCCTATAGAAATTTAAACACCCAAGAAACCTGCGTAAATCTTTTAGAGTTTTGGGTTTAGAATAGTTAACAATTGCATCTACTTTATGTGGTAAGGGTTTAACACCATGCTCATTTACTAAATGTCCAAGGAAGGGTACTTCAAAAGATCCAAAAATACACTTAGAAGCATTAATTGTTAAACCATACTGTTTTAAACGTTCAAATATTAAACGTAAGTGATACAAATGTTCAGTCTCGTTAGCACTTGCCACGAGAATATCATCAATATAAGCAAATACAAAATCTAAACCATATAAAACTTCGTTAATAAAACGTTGGAGGGTTTGAGGTGCATTACACAACCCGTAAGGCAGATACAAAAATTCAAATAACCCAAAAGGTGTTATAACTGCAGTTTTCTCAATGTCTTGTTCTGTTACGGGGATTTGATTATATGCTTTAACAAAATCTATAATACTAAATACTTTCTTATCAAACAGATTTTGTGAAAAATCCTGCAAATTTGGTAAAGGATATTTATCAGGCCGAGTACAGGCGTTTAAAGCTCTGTAATCGCCGGTAGGTAGCCAATCAGAGTTACTTTTTGGAACCATGTGTAGGGCGCTGGCCCACGGACTTTTGGATGGCCTACAAATACCGTGTCGCAGCATGAAATCAAATTCCAATTTGGCAGCTTGAAGTTTAACAGAATTCAATCTGCAAACTTTTGAAGCGACTGGAGGACCAATCGTGTTAATATAATGCACTGTATCGTGCTTAATTTTAAGATAATTAGGTCTAACTCTAGTAATTTCAGAAAATTCCTGAATTAAATCGTGATATTTAATATTGCCAAATATTGTTTTAACACTTTGGATTGAGGAAGGAAAGATTTTACCTTGATGAGCCAAAGACGTTTTCGTATCAATTAATTTCTTATTTTTAAGATCGATTTACAACTCAAAATGTCGTAAGAAATCTGCGCCTAAAATTGGTTTTGAAACATTCGCAATTATAAATGTAAAATCAAATTTTCGATGTAAACCAAAATCTAGCGACATAAGTTTAACACCAAATGTTTTAATAGCAGTGCCGTTAGCAGCATGTAACACATAATTTGATGTTGGCCTGCAGCCTTTAAATGTTATAGGCAATAAACTTACATCAGATCCACTATCGACCAAGAACAGTAACTTAGTTTCGCGATCAGAAGCAAAAAGTCGGTGGCTAAATTTCAAATTCTCACTACTATTAACCACCGGACTAATAGTAGAGCTCATTAGTTTAAATTAAAATTGCAAGGCTCAATACATTAGTGTGCTTTTTCAGCATACTTCCTATGATATCAACAAATTTTCGTTCTGCTTCTCCTTTAGAAGTGTGAGAAAATTTTTTCGAAACATTTGATTTGGAACGCAAACGACTACGGGATAGACTTCGATATCTACGCATAGATTTAATTTCGTTCTTCAACTCTGCCAAATCCGTAGACATTTGAGTTATTTTTTCTATAAGTGAATCTCTACTTACAACTTCATTACAACTTGAAGTTGCAGAAAAACTAGTTACTTCAGAAACCTTACCTGCCAAAGTTGATAAAGTGTCTAAACCTTCCGTACTAACACTTAAAATAGACTGAATAGATGAGGGTAAATGAGATAGCCAAATAGATTTAATAACCTCATTTGAAAAATTAGATCCTGCTAATTCTCGCATATGTCGCAACAAGGCAGACGGCTTAGAATCCCCCAATGCAAGGTCCTGAAGTAAAGTTTGAATTCTTTTACTCTCGGACAAGGAAAATTCTGCTATAAGCTTATCCTTAACGGCAGTGTAAGGCTTTTCCAAATTTGGGTTTCTAACCAAGTCTGCAATTACTTGCATAATATTCTGATCAAGGACAGAGATTAAACAGCAGTACATAGTAGATTCAGCAGTAATCCCTGATAATTTAAAATTAGCCTCAATCTACGTAAAATATAGACTTGGATTATCAATCCAAAATCCAGGTAAGCGAAGGCCAATTTTATGAATTTCAGTTTCAGTTTTATTTTTATCAGTCATTGTAACACAAAAATAAGCAACTAGTTAAAGATTCACTTATGAAAATTTTCAAACTAAACTAGTTATATATATATATATATATACATTAGAACAATTCAATAACTAGAGGATATATGGAAATATTCATAGTAAAAATAAATATTTACATAACTAAGAATGTTTCAGAACTATAAATATTATACTAAGAAATCTATACAACAGCATTTAAAGTCCGTATATTCAAATTCAATAACTACTAATTAAAGTCTCTTACAGTAATGTTTACAAATTTCAGTCTAACATTATACAATACAAAAGATATTACTATACATTAAGTTTATATTTTAAGTAGTGCAGAGCAAAGCAGTTGACTAAATAAGAAATTGTACATTACCAAAATCAAGTAGTTATTCCAAATTGTAAAACAACGGATAATAGCGTATCCAAAAACATAATAAACACAAGAGTCACCAATTGAGGGGGAGGAACCCTCTCATATTAAGTTGAAGACAACTATGACAAAAATCAACTAAACATTTATTAACAACTGAAACATAACAAGCTAAAACAGAAACATAAAATTAAGTAAGACTGTGTGGGATAGTGACTGAGTAAAGTTCGAAGCTTCTTAAATACTGGGGAAGTTCCAAGGTTGCCGATCGTGTGTTTGTAATCCCGTTGATTCTTTTGGCGCCTACGCACCATGCCTGGTGCCACACCTCTAAATAGGATTCCATCTTGAATGGTTATACTGGGATCAAACTTGTTTCCAATAACAATATCGTATTTTATTTTTCTAAGATCAGGATCAAGCTCTGTTTCTGTTTGAATTTGGTTTGCTGTAATTGTTTCAGTTGAAATGTAATTTGTGATAAATTGCTGGAGTGCTTGTGATTCATCAATACAGTTGACGTAATTAACTGGTAGTGGAAGAGGATTTCTTGAAAGGTAATCAGCATTTGTATGCTTTTCAGATTTTCTATGTATAATTGTGTAATCGAAACTCGAAAGAAATTGAGCATATCGAAGAATTCTTGAAGCAGTCATAACTGGGAGGCTTTTCTCTGGATGGAAGATAGCGCAAATGGCTCTGTTATCGAGAATCAAGGTAAATTTTCTGCCAAAAATATAATCGTAAAATGTTTTGCAAGCCCAAACCACAGCTGTAGCTTCACGATCCAATTGACTGTAATTTTTCTCGGCAACTGTGAGACTTCTGGAAGCAAAAGCGATAGGACGCTCTATACCGTTTGGCATAGTGTGTGAAAGAACTCCTGAATGTCCAAAAGGGCTGGCATCAGTAGCTAATGTTACTGGAAGAACTGGATTGAAAGGCACTAGAATCTGGTCACTGGTTATAATTGATTTTGCTTTTATGAACGCAGATTCACATTCTGCAGTCAATCGAAAACGTGCGTTTTTGCATAAGAGTTTGTTTAGTGGATGAAGTAGGCTGGAAGCATCTGGAATGAACTTAGAATAATACATGACAAGTCCAATGAATTTACGAACATCATCAACGGAGTTTGGTCGAGGTGTTTCGGATATAGCTTGAATTTTATCAGATGATTTGTGCAGTCCAGCAGAACTGATAACATGTCCCAAATACTGAACTTCTTCCTCGAAAAATCTACATTTGTTAAGGTTAAGATGCAAATTATGTTCCCGTAACTTTTCGAATACTTTAATTAAACGTTGCTGGCAATCTTGTTTATCTTTTCCTTGGATGATAATATCATCAAAGTAGGCAATAGTTCCATAAAAATCTTGGACAAACTGATCAATAAATTTATGGAATTCATTTGGTGCAGTTTTTATTCCGAAAAATAATCTTTTTGCTAAGTATGTACCTCTATGAGTAGAAAGAGTCTGATATTTTGCACTTTCTTCATCGACTTTCAAATATAAATATGCTTTGTGGATATCGAGCGTACAGAAATATTTCCCATCACGTAATTTATTGAAAATGTCCTCAATTCTAGGAATTGGGTGTCTGGCATTTTGAAGCTGATTGTTGATTGTAACTTTAAAATCTGCGCATATACGAACTGTGCCATCATGCTTTGGGACAACTACTAGGGGTGTACCCCATTCTGATTCGTCTATTTTTTCTATTACACCTTCAGCTCCTAATTTATCTAATTCTTGTTCTACTTTTGATTTTAAAGCATACGGTACAGTACGTGGTTTAATAAAAATGGGTTTTGCATCTGGAATTAGCTTTAGTGCACAAGTATAATCAGGAATGCAACCAATTTTAGGTTCAAACACATCAGAAAAAGAATTAATAATTTTCTGTATAGAAAAATCAGTACAAGAAATGCTGGGTTTAATACTAGTATTTTGTGCGGAAATAATGTGAAGATCATTTAAATTAAAATTCAAGTTTCTAATCCAATCACGCCCTAATATAGAATTTTTCTTTATCGAAACAACATACAAATCTTCAAAGCTAGATAAAGATGTTCTGGTAATAAGACTAAGAACGAACGCTTTTGCCCCAGTGCAACGAACGAAGCAGGAAAAAGCGAGCCTGGAAAAAATTTCTTGGGAAGACCAAGATCCACACTGGGCTGTTGAGCCATTGATGATGATGCAACAAACGTATTTTCTCGAATATTTGAAATCTTGCAAATTAAAAATTTGACCACTTATGAATTCATATTTCAACGAAACATTTTTACTGATGATAATACCAACTTTTTTCGTTTTCTACAAATAAATATTATCTTTTTCTCCTCCAACAATTTATTATAATTTAAATTTTACTATCTGGATTTCAATTGGATCTTTTTTGTCGGATGTATTTTTCTGAGATCAAAACACTTATTTTGAGACTGGAGGTTTTTCTTAAAGAAGCAACAGATCTTTGCTCGTAAAAAGTTTGAAGTTGTTTGTACATTGAAAACTCTGAAGTTAGAATTTAGAACAACTTCAAAATTTTCCTGAGAGCGAAAAACTTCATAATTCTTCTAACGCGCAAACAGCTGCACAGTTTTTAATCCAAAAAACTTTAAAAATTTTTTTAAATTGCGTCATTATTAAAAGAACATTAATGACTTTAAAATAAGAAACTTCAATATTTGACTTAAAACTAACATGAGAAATAAAATGATCAAGCATTTAAGGATTTATTTATGATAGATTTATGAGCAAATTACGGAAAGGAGCTACAAAAAAGAAGGAAGAAATCCAATCTCTTTACTTTCAGAGCAGCCATCAGAAATGTTATGTTTATGGAAAAGCAGTCTTGATTTCCATATTTACTTCGATATTTTATGATTAAAAAGTTTCCGTTTTTAAAGAAGTAAGGATTTTTTTTTCGCACTCATATTTTATAATTATTTTTTCTTCTAAATAGCTTTTGTACAAATTTGTTTATTTTGTTTATTTGTCTTAAAGTTTCGTGGTTCAATAAATTTTGATTTCGAAGATAAAAAAGAAAGTAAGAACTAAAGACCAAAACTGAAATGTCATTATATTTAATAAACTGCCATGTTGTTTGACTAGTCCAGCTTTTGATTCATTTTAAATTAGCACATTTTGTTTGTTTCAATGTTTAAATCATTTTCGAGTTAAACAACACTACCCGTTTGAAGGTATGCTTAAATTTTAGTTTTAAAGTTGTTTCTTAAGTTTTTATTTCAACCAGCCATGTCATAAAATCTTTATTTTAACAAGTATTAATAACATATATTATGAAGAATATCAATATTTCTTTAATAGATAACGTTAATTCGGGATAAAATCGAGCTTTTTTAAAAGAATGATAAATTTATTTATAAGTAAATTAATAATAAATTTATTTTAATGAAACTTTTAATGCATTTTTATACATTGGATCCATATACTTTAAATATGAAGCATATCTTTTCTATTTTGATCAATTGTTCCGATGCAGTAATTCATTTAAGTGAACTTGTTTTGATTTGCTAAATTTTAGTTTAATATTTCATGTATGTTTTTTCCTAAATTAAGAATGATCGTAAATTAATGCATCTCAATTGTATTTGTAAATTCTATTCTTAACACTGAGGCTAAAAATATCAATTTGCAGTTCGTAAATACCAAATTCATAATAAATAGAATTTTGAAGCCTATTCAATTTTATCTATTCATTAGATGCTGCTCTACAAGTCTCAATTAAAATATATTGTTTCTTGACAAGTTTATAATGATATTAGAAACAAGTTCATTACGCAATAAACTAACATGCTAAGTGTGTACAAATGGTTCGCAAACATTAAACTATTTATTAGTTTCTAAATTTACAAGAAGGAAATCAATTTTAATTTACACTGCCATATGGCCCCACTTTTCTCCACCGGACCTACTGCATTTATTCTATCAAAATATTGAATCAAAATTATCGAATTACCTTATAATTAAGTATAGATGTGTTTCAAAATTTGTTAATTATGTCAAGTAGATAATATTATATCAACCGTTCTTAACATATATTTTTTTAATATCCCTGTCAAAAATTAAGTAAAAAACGGTTATATACTAGTCATAAATCAATATTTAATCGAGGAAAAAACAAAAGTGCAATAGAAATGCAACGAATCACTACTAAGAAAACCGGATCTGAAAGCATGAAAAACTCTTCAATTGCTTTAGAAAACAGAGAGAAGATTGAATGCGATTATTAGAAATTCATATAAGTTTCATCAGATAAATTTACTGATTTCGATAGCGTTTCGAACTCAAATTTTTATTTTATTTCCAATGGCAGATCAAAAGACAACTGTAGTTAAAAAACAGACAATAACATGACAAACAGAAGAAAAGATGAACAATACAACAAAAACAAAACTATAGCGAGTCTGTAGATCGTTCATTTTGTGACGGGCTCTCCAATACTTCTCCCACAAGTGTCCCAAGTTTAGTCTATTGCACTCCAATGTGGTTTATGTCTATTGCACTCCAATATTAATTTGCGACTCTTGCGATACAATATCAGTCTTGACAAATAGTATGAAAATACACACAAAGGGCACGTATTAAGAAACACCCTAAGTTCAAAATTTCTATCTGTAATTACTTCCTTATTTTAAACGAATATTCACGCTTTCATTTAAGATTGGTGCCATTTGAAATGAACAACTTTTTGTGACATAAGGGTTTCGTTAAACACGACAGTTTGTGATCAGATTCCAGACAAAAATTAGTTTATATACTGGATGACATGAGCAAAGTGTTAGTTTAGCGATACAAGGTCTTGTTAAGTTCCAGAAATTTACTTGAGATTCTCAAATTAGGAAACATTTTATTTTAAATGAGTGGAGTACGTGAAATCTTCTGTGCTTAATAACTGATCAAAAAGCAAAACATATATTTTCTTCAGTAAAAGTTTTTCAGAAAAACTTGTTATAAAGAAAATAACAATGCTTTAGCGATTATATACTTGATGCTGAAGCTTTACTGTCGTTGGTAACGGACTATTACGGAACACTTGTTTTTATCTTATTTTATAACCGTCGTTGAAGTCCCAATTTCGGATTACTTTTATTCAACTTCGTAGTCTTCCCAAAAACAAGGAAAGTAATGCTGGTGGATCTTGGCTGGTGGCTGGAAATTGGTGGATCTTTTGATAGGAACACGTAGAAAACCTCTCACGGTTCACTCGATGGCAAGGGAATTTCGACTTATAATCTGCCCACCACTGAAGAATAAAAGCTTGCGTGCCTGTGGATATTTCGATCACCGTAACTCTTACAGCAAAGTAAACCATTGAATATCCACACCGGCAGGCAGCAGCTGATTTTGTATTCAACACTTGATTATAACATTTGGCACAACTAATGTCAAGGTCTTTTGGTTTATATGTGTTAGTTTGCTTCTAAAGTGCGAGGTTAAATTAAACGCAATTATTATTAAAATCAGCAATAACAATTTTTAGTATTTTAAAAATATTAAGGATTTCCCAAAATTCACATAAGCATCATTTATGCTGTAAGAAATCGGAAAGAAGAAAAGTCAGATAGTTCAGAGATATTAAAAATGCAACACTACAAGTAAAAATAATTATTTTTTATATTTGAGATTCATTTCGAAGATATTTTTGCGATATATTGCTGAGTATTTCCTGTGTGTGCAGTTTCCCGTAACAGTATTCATGCGACTTAATAGCGTTGGACTATTTTTTGAGGAATTTCGAAGTCTAAGGTTGATGCAATAAACCAACAATTATCCATGCTCTTAAAGGATACAGTGCCGTTTCAGCGAAATTCAGATGCACAGCTATCACTAAACGACCAAAAAGTGAATATTTTACGGAAATAAGAAAAAACCTTGCCAACATCATCCAATATACTGTACCATTCAAAACCATATATTGTGTATTTTATGAATTAATTAAAATTTCGCTATTTTTTTAAATTAAAATCACGAATTAGGCTAATTATTGTGGAAATTTTAAAACAGCCTGTATTATGCAGTTTTTTAATTAAATGATTTTTATTGATACAAAACTAATATTTTTTCACGGACATACTGTCTGTAGTTTTTTACTCGGGAAATCAGACATTTTATAATGAACAGAATACAACAGAGGAAATTTATCATAATAGATTTTTAGTAATGGGATACTCTCAACTTGAAAAGAAGACCACTGATAAACAACCACCTCTTCTATGATCTCAGCGACAGCTGGTAAATTATAAACAAAATTGCGTCTTAATATTCTAAGGTTATGCTAATTTTTTCGAGAAGTTAATTGCTTGCATAATTAATTTGTTTATGTTCTAAATACCTTCGTGTCTGTGCCAAGTGGGAAATCAATCAAATCTTTTTCCGTGAAGGAACATATAATGCGCACTTAAGATAATTCATGTTTGATTGGCTAGGCTTACTCGAAATAGAATGGAAAGAACAGTGGCTAACATAAACAAATACCAAGTTTCAACTGTTAATCGGGATCCATAAACACGATGACGTCGCTGACAGGTATCCAATGAAGTAGTTTCACACCCTTTCACATTTACATGCGCGTAAAAAAAAGCTAAGATTTGAGGATCCTGTGTCGCGAATCAGTTGACATGATCAGATGATTACTTCAGAAGAATGACTTCGACATATAAACTTTATTGGGGGGGGGGGACCATACTTGGACTGTTATTTTCAAGTTATATGAAAACAAATTTAACCAGTATTAAAATAGTTACTGTAAAATAAACTTTTATGCATCCGAAATACACACTCCCATAGATTGGTAAAAGCAAATTTTTCTTAATGTATAACAAAAACATACATCAAACATAAAGTAATTATATTTCACAATCAAGTCAATATCTTTTGCTAACATTCAATTCCTAATTAAGAAAACTTAAACATCTTAATACTATACAGAATGTTCCTTCCTCGTATATAATTTTTGAATCATGCTTAAAAATAAAATTTAAAAAATATACAAATTAGGGGTTGCAAACTACTATTTAAGAACAAGAAAAAATTCAATGGAAATCTTAAGAATCACTATTAAGATCAACGGAATTGAAAACTTTAAAACCAGTTTGATTTTATTTTATTTTATATCTGTTGTTGAACAGCCGACCCAATTTTTGTGTTTATTACTACTAATGTT